ATATACCTGGATAAAACGACCTCTTCAACTACCGATGGCGATAGAGAAAAATGAACACAGATTTGTGAAAAATGTGACTAATATGGCCAAGGGCAATTTTCTTCAATGATTTAGGAGATGACGAATGAAGAAGATAGACCTGCAAAAGGGATCAACGTAAGTATATATAGATTATTATAACGAAATTTCAAAAAATGTCCAATAATGGTTATTAATTATGAAGAAATTAAATGCATAAATTAAACATTAGAAAAGAAAATACCAAGAACAATAAGGGAGAAATGAACACAAATTCAATAGGCAGATCTACAAAAGAGTTCTTCAATAATTTATCGAAGGATGTACGACAATAGCAGATCTGCAAAAGAGAAGTTAAAAATTTCAACTACTATTCAACAGCGGTAATTAGAAAAAGGATGCAGTTAACGTCACAAAAGAATATACCAATTGCAAGGGAAAGTGTAGAGAAGATGAGCACAGATTTGTAACATAAGCAAACATGCAACTAGTATGGTCAACGCCAACAACTTATATATCCAGCAACTTCAGAGAGAATGGATGGAATAGGCTTCTGGCTGATCTGCAACAGTGATATATGGATTATTTCAATTATATCTAATAATGATGCGTAGAAAAAGCACGGATTAAACATTAATTAGTACAAAAGAAAATACCATGAACAAATTGCAACTACTATGGCCAACGACAAGAGTTTCATCAATGATTTAAGAGATAATGAAACAGGTAGATCTGCAAAAAGATGAAATTAAGCATGGATTATTGTAAAGGTATTTAATATTAATTAGAAAAAAATGATGAACAAGAATGGAGAGAGGTACCATTTAAAAAACAAATTAGAAGGTAGACAAGAGTTGAGGCTGGTAAGGAGAAGACAGAACTTACAGTAGGCAATTCAATGAGAGAGTCAATAGGGATTTGATGGCTATTTCCTGGCCGATCTTTGCGAGCCCTGGGAATGCCTGCATTCCGACTTTTACTTTTTGCAGAGCAGGGGACAGCTGGCGACAGCGTTTTGAAGGCAAGTAGGTCAATTATTGAACCAATGAAAATAAAAAAGGCTTAATGTCATTAAAACTCCCTCAACTTTTCAAAAAAGTCATTTTCATCCTTGTACTTTAAAACAAGTCATAAACATCCCTAAACTTTTGAGAAAGGGCCAAGTATCATCCCTCGTCATAACGCCGTCCATGCTCCGGTTAAAAGTCTCCAAATTTTAATGGTAAACTAACATAGCTTGTCCCTCAACGTTCAATTTTTATGCACTTTGATCCTTAAACTTTAGATTTATTCAATGTGCTCCCTAATTTCAACTTTTTTATTACAATTTAGTTCCTAAAATTTTGAAAGGGGTGCACTTAAATCTCAAAATTTGCATTTTCAATCTTTTTTTACACAAATAATAAAAATTATGTAACTTTTAATAAAATCACATTTAAATATTCAATTAGTTCAAATAACAATAAGATTAAGTTTAAACTAGTAAATTAAAATATAAAAAGGGAATCCTACTTTATAGTCTAAACTACACCAACCTAAAAACAAGGACCATTAATATTGTGACTCATATCTAATGATTAATGTTATACAGTTTGATACAATTCAAAATATATAATACTTTTTCCATATATAAAACTCATATCATTAAAGTGTAAAATCAATTTTTCTATACTTACTTGTTCCAAAAATGTCTTTGATACCCAATTTAAAATCCTGCAAAATATTACAACCAAAGTGAAGAAACTGTAAATGATGTAGACATAACTTATAGACCTAGTGTAAATGTGATTGTGTGTACATCATGAACTAATAATAATTTTGGATAATATTTTTATGGTTTTGAGTGTATTACAAGAAAAACAAGACAAGCATCTCTTAGTTATCCCTTTTTTATCATAATGTTGTTAATTTTTTTCTAATACGAGTTATGTATATGCAACTTGCTAAATATCCTTCCTTTATTTTAATGATCTCAAATTGGACATTAAAGATGTGATTTTTCACTTTGGATAAACAAATTTTATACAATTTAGTTTACTCTTTTAGCCTTAATTTTATTAATATTTTGAATTGTTGAAAGTGATTTTATTGGATTTTACATGATTTTTATTGTTTGCGTAGAAAAGAATGGAATGCATGAAATTATAAATTTTGGGATTTAAGTTGAATTCTTTGAAGAGTTTATGACTAAATTGTAATAAGAAAAGTTAAAATGATGACCAAATTAAATAAATATGAAGTTTGAGGATCAAAGTGGATAAGAACTAAAAGATGAGTGACAGCAATGTCATTTTCCATTAAAATTCGAAGGATTTTAACGGATGTATTGACGGTGTTATAATCATCGGTGAATAGGGGATGATGCTTGGCTCTTTCTCCAAAGCTGAAGGATAATTATTACTTATTTTAAAGTAGAAGGATGAAACTGACTCTTTTTTGTAAGTTGAAGCATTTTTTTAGAATTAATCCAGATAAAAAAAAAAAAAAGACAAGCAATATGAGTGGAAGACACATATAAAGTTCTGTGTTATAGTATAAATGCCCTCCGTGATTTGAGGGGTGTGGGGACAGCCTTTCGCAAAGCAAGAAATCAATGAGATGCGTGGTATGGTATCTAAGGTATACT